GCAACAGGAAGACAAATGTTTTTAAATGGTACTAGTCTCATTTTAAAATCAATGTATATTCTTGGCATTAAATCCTTGTCTTGTTCAGAATGCAATAACTGTCAAATATTATGATCTTTTTCTGTTTTCAGAAGTATTTGATTTGGGACATCTCAAATAACATATTCTACTCTTGAGATTGCTCATGTGTTGACAGCTTGGATGTGCTCTTGTTTACTTTCTGATTAGATCAAAATAAAAATATGTGCAGCTAGACCGGTTTTAATGGCTCTGAAGATATGCCAAGGCTCGTCCTCTTGGTGTCTGCTTTCCCATAAACCTGTTTAGAATGCAAGAATTATTCTTCACAACACATTTCTTTCTTTTGCACCAGACAAAAATGTTAAGGTACCTGATAAATGTGTGGGTTTCCCCACTGTTGTGCCATGGAATTTTTATTTTAAAACAGTTCTCCCCAAGCCTGCTTTTTCTAGCAGCACAGCTTTGCATACAAGTCAGATGCCTTTCCCTTACCCTTTATCTCACTGGTTCCCTGGATTTTATCCTCTGTGGCTGAATTCCTTCCCTTGTAGAGGTGATCCTTGCTTCCACCTCTGCTCTCATGGAGCTCAGATGTCTTCTGGTGTCTTCACAGACCTCACAATTGGTCTCAAAATTTCATATACAGCCATAACTTTCATTAGTGTTTTCCTGCTTTCTTTGTCATTTTCTGGGATCCCAAATTCTGTTGGAGTGGTTTCACTGTTAGTTGATGTTATTCCAAGAAATCTGTCGCTCACAGTAATAGGGCTGATCCCTTTCCTGGGTACTGAATAGTAGGTGTTGCTGTCATTTTCTTTCTGATACACTGCATTCAGAAATGCTTAGCACACAGCTACAGGATTTTAACAGAAGCATACAGAAGTAATAGAAGAGTAGGGAAGTCTGGCTTTTGAGGATGGGCAGTTCTATTTCCAATTACATGATGATGATGATGATCCTATTGCTGCACTCAGAAAGGCAGTAGCATTTCAATGTGTGAATCCATCTTTTAAGTGACTGTCTGGATCAATCTTTACCTTTATCAGGGAATGGGAGATTTGTGTTTTCTAAGGAAGTACTCTGAAATTTTCACCAGCAGAATTATTCAGGTAAATGTGCTATGTTTAGGTTTTTCAGAAAGAAATGATGAAAGGACTCAGTTGCAGTTACGTTTTCTCTGCTATTTAAAGAGAGGACAGTATTCTTTCACAAGCATGAGATTAGTGCAGTCTGTGTGCTTCATGCTGTGTCTGCAGCATCAGCAGCCACTATCAGAGACTTATTGCAAGGACTTTAGCTTAAAATATCAGCCATTAGCAAATCACTGACCTTTGTTATGAGTATCTGACTTAATCCTCAGTTCTCTGCAAACCTTGTTGCATCAAATCACAGTAGTTCAGTGCTTCTTACAGGTGGTCTGACACTTTGAACACTCGAGGTGGGATCTAAGGTTTTGCCCTCCCCATGTACAGAAGGCAGCTGGAGCATTGCAGCCCTGCATTTTGCCAGGCTGCCATTCCCTGCACCTCCAGTGGATGTTGGGAGGATTGAAGGTGTCTGAACTCTGCTCTTTGAACCATGCCTATCTTCAGCTTCAGCCTGCTATCCTGGACATAGTTAACCATATTTTGACCTTCAGATAAACATTTGGTAGTCAAGAATTAACAGCAACAAGACAATAAAAAAACCTACCAAAAATCCCAACGCCAGAAAAGCACCACAAATATTTGCCTGTGATGACACTTGTAACATTTCTTTGAGATGACTTTTTATTGACTTTCTGAGCATGCTCTTTTAGAATTGCTAGGGGATGTGAATAGGTCAGTGAGAGAGCAAAGCAGTTTCCTTGTGAGCTCTACAGGAAACTCCTGGATGTTGCTGGTTTTCCCATTGTCCTGTTTTTACTGTCTTCTAAGCTTTTAATTTTTTGTGACTTCTCCTCTCACAATGTAACATTACACAGATTTAATGATTAGTCACAACTTCATCCCTTTTCATACACAGAGTTGTATAACTATCCTAATTAAACATGCACATGGTAAAATTGCAAGCTAGAAAGAGCTGCCTGGGCTTGGATGATAGCAATTAAATGATTTATGTTTACAGACATCAATATTTATCTTATGCCTACCGTCTGTCCTAGCTTGTCATCTGTGGTTCCATGTGTAGTTCATTGGCTTTAGTAAGCAATCCAGATTCTTTTCTCTGGACACTGTGTTCTTGGCTGAGGAGAATATTGCTTTTCATAAGATCATGGAGTAAGACCATATTCTGAGTTTCACAAACACTCTTAGTCTTTCTGTCTTCACCTGAGGATTTTTTCTGCTAAAGTTTCAGAAATACAAGGTTTCAAGGTGCTTAAAATAAATGAGTCACTGTCTCCTCCTGCCCCCAATTGTTCTCAAACAGGGAGTTCTTGCTAAAATTATTTAGGGTGATGCCCCTGACAAAAATACGGATGAACCAAGTCCCAGTTTCCACTGAGCTTCAGTATGTTAAACAGACACAATTTATTTTTCTTTTCTGCAGTTCTCCTTGGCTCTGGTGGGGTCAGAAGCAGCAGTAGCACTTTGGCTGTTCCCAGTTGAGTCATTTGGAATGCAAATCACTTTGCAGTGATGCCAGAGGTTCCCATTGTGCTGGGCTTTATAGAAAACGCGTGACAGATTGTCAGCTTTGTCACATTCCCTGGGCAGCAGGGAATAGGTAGAGCTTCAGCTTTGGATTCAGATACAGCTGGACTAGTATCAGAAGATCTTTGTCATCTTTGCTTTGCAGATAACTATAAATCATGTTACAATATTACACTGAGTGCTTTAGCTTGATATTTTGATACTAACATAATTTCTCAGTGCAAATAAATTCCTACTGGGGAAGCTTAGCAGAACATGTGCTCTGGGGAATGCAGTCTTCCTGTACCCTTCCCTGCTTTCCTTCCCTGTCTGAACTAGATATGAAGAACAGAAGTGAAGTCTGGGGAAAATATCAAGCAATATAAATTATCTGCTCTTGATGGATCTTGCACTGTCTGAGCTGCAGGGATTTGGGGTTGCAGGAGCATGTGCTGCATCTAAATACAGAATCTTGCAGGAAGGATATCTCTTGTGCTGTAAAAATGTGCTGCAAGTCTGGGCAGGAACCATCTTCCCAACCAGACAAATAGGAATCTGGGTAGATGTCCATGAAAATAAAGCTAGTGATGGACTTTGTTACTCTAAGATTGGCTGGCTATTAAATATCTTGGTTGCTTTTGCACGAAACTAAACTTGGTACTGAAGTGTCTCTTGAGAGCTGGATTAAAGTTGATCTTGTGTGAATCTGTGCTATACTAGAGATTAAATGCATTGTGTTGAGTTTTCATTGCTATTCAAAGCTTTTGAATTACTGTGGCACTGTTTAAAAAATATTCAGAAGGAAACACTTTCTTTTTCTATTCAGTCCCATGTTAGCAGGACAAGGCCTGAATGACTTTGTCATTTCAATTTTAAATAAAGTTTAAATTTCTAGAGGAAAGCAATTTGAGGGCTGTGGAATGTTGGTTTTTTTTCAATTATTGTGAAAATTTTAATTTCTGATATTATCAGTTTTGATTCTTTTGAGTAGTTCTGTCAGCACAATCCACATCACCAACTTAATAGAAAAACTGATGATAGTGACTGTTAATGTTACTATTTAACATGGTAAATTCAAAGAGTAACAAGGGAACATTCAAGGCTCTTGCACAACTCTATTATAAGTCCCCATTTTGGAAAATTATGTAGCTGTCAGCCTGAATTATTGTGCCCAGGGTTTCAAAGGTGCTGCTCTTTTGGCTCTTGAACATCATTTTGTGCGTACAGTAGCTTCTTAAAAATTAAGTTGTGATTAAAAGTCTTTGAACAAATGCCTTGTGTTAAAATAGGACCTCATGTTCTCTACTGTCACACTAGGTTCTCTGTACTTAAATCCACTCTAAATCCAGAATCTTGGTGCTGAAGTCGTTTGCCTTATGCAGTTCCTCTCTGAGGGAATGTGAGTTGGAGCAAGCAGATGGAACAAGCAGATGAACAGATTTTGCAAGCATTTTGAAAATAGGTCTTGAAAGGGTTTTTAGTATTGGAAGCAAATAAGTCTGGATGAATAAGAATGAAACTTCACAAGTTTTTTTTTTTCTTTCTGGCTTTGGTTTTTCTAAAACTTTTCTTTCTTTTAACTTAGAATTACCCTGTGTTCAAGATCCTCTTTTTTAATGAGGTCTTTGCTTTAAAACATAGGTGCTCTCTCTGCTCTATAGGTGATTTTTGTTCTTTTTCAGCAAGGCTTATGGTTTTCCTATTATCCTTGTACCAATAATTTTCCCTTTGGGACAGGAAATAGTCTAGAGGCAAGACACTATGAAAACAGATGGGCTGCACATTGCAAATGGAGCTGATGAAGCTGACAGCCTCTTTGAGATCCTATCAAGCGTGTCTTTGTATGGGTGATAAAATCAGCAGCCAAACTTCTGCCAAGTTTTTTCAATTCTCTTCTACTTTGCAGCCACATAACCACACAGGGAACTTGCATAACTCTCCCCAGCAACATCCACAGCACTGCCTATGCTGAGGGTACTCAGGCAACATTCTCCCTCATTCCTGAATGTTTTTCTGAGTTGCCTGTTTAGGTATTCACAGCTTCAGATCTGGAACAAATGTACTTTTGAAAGCTTGTTCAGACTGCACACAGTAATTACAATGTGGGAAGTACTGTGTACCAGCAGTAGAGATCTGTTACTGTGTGTGGAGCTGCAGAGAGTTTGGGGCAAATGTTAATGCCCTAATTTGAAAATCTGGGTTTGAAGGACAAGGCATGAGTAGAGTGTCCAGTAGCATGTTCATGTGCCACAGATGGCTTAGATTGAAGCATCCTGAGTTTTCAAATGGCTTTGTGTTTGGAAAATCTTGTGAGCAGCATGCCATGTTAATTTAAAATAGAAATTAACCTTTTCCCCCTTTTTATAGGAACTGGAGACATTGTTGCTGTCATGATTACAGAGTCGAAGGTTAAGGAGATCCTGAATTACTTGGAAAAGAACATCTCTGTGCTGATGGCCATAGCAGTGGGGTCCCGTGTTCCTCCAAAGAACTTCAGCCGGGGCTCTCTAGTCTTTGTGTCAATATCATTCATTGTTTTGATGATCATTTCTTCAGCATGGTTAATATTTTACTTCATCCAGAAGATCAGGTACACAAGTGCACGTGACAGGAATCAGGTAAGGGGTCTCTTCTCTTAAGTTATGGAGATAATATTTCAGTATACAATAATCAATAGAGAACAAATAAGAAATGCCCATCAAACTACTGTTCAGAATCTCTTTGTTCCAAGGCAGAGCGTGTTGCCAGAAAAGGATTTTTATACAGCAAAGTGTTTTCATCCTGAGCAGCACTGGTATAGATCCTATTACGTGACAGGAAAGAATCAAACTGAAGCAAAATACTTAAGTTTTGGTTTGTCTAAGGCCAAAAGTCAGAGGGATTCTGTGTTGGCTGAGTAATACATACTGGATGTATGTTGGGAATGAGGAGGAAAGTTAAATTGTGTAGTTGAAACACTGAGCAAATGTTACAAATTCTCCCCATGCTCTTAAGGATATGTTCTGTAATAGTTAACGTAGTTCAGAAATTGTACAAAAGTATTCCCACACCATAATCTGTTATGAATTTTAGGGTAAAAAATCTAAGATGTAGAGCTGCTTAGTGATCTGTGTTAACTTTCAGCTTTGTTTAGGATCACCCTTGGTAAGGAGTGCCTGATTCTCCTGGTCATGTATTTTAACAAAAATTTTGTCCAATATGCCTTTCCTCCTTTTTTTTTCTTAATTTAAGTACTGTGTGATATATGGCCATACTCAGAGATCTAGACTAAATTGTCGACTCAAACACAAATAAACTTTAGAAGTAAATGTTTTACTAGTGTGGACTTAATGACCTTCCACAGTGTGCCTTGGCTTTTATTGAGAAGGGTCAGTAAACCTCAGGAAATGCACAGTGCCCTCTTTGCCCCGTCTCTCTGTCAAGGCTAACTTAGAAACCTCCTGACCTCTAGTCACTGTTACCCCTTCCCCCAAATTACAGCTGATACACAGCAGCTGACTGTGGGCCAGGTTTTTTTTGTGTTCTGTCAGACCTAAAATAAATCCAAACTTACAAAACCTCGGCTGTGGCACAGGATTTCCTTTTCAGTTACTATTAATAGTGTCTGATGCTGCAGGTCCCGTGGGCATCCTGTAGATTTTCTAAAGGATGTCATTCTTAAATGACCACACTGTAGCCAGTACTCAGTGTGGTCCCTTGGGATGGTGAAGTTTAAATATAACTCTAACTTAATGAATGTCTGTGGAATACTAAATTGTGCCTTCTCTATCCCCTACATGGCTTTAGGCTCCTTCCCAATGTCCACGTTTCAAAACAGTTGCTCCATTGGGAAAGGGCTCTTATGACCTTTTTTCTTTCTTTAGATTTTTACAAAGGTCAGGAGAAACTTGATGAAAATTTTATGTGGTTTAAAAAGCTGAGCTTATTAAACTTTAATAAGAAGGTGGCGACAGCTACAGCTTATTTTTAAAGAGCTTTGAGAGCTTTCACAAAGACTGTACTGTTAGTGATGAAATAACTTGGTTTAGGCTATGATCTTGTTTTTAAGTTATGTCAAGGCACAAGTTTTTCTGGTTTTGAAATCAAAGCCATCAAAAACTTGCTGTGTTTTGTAGATAGCACAAGTAGATATTGGTGTTTCACCTTGTCGTTCTTGCGCGCTTCCCTCGGAAGTGTGAAACTCTTCTGCATGTGCAAGTGACCTTTTCCATCCAGACAGTTGTGGGCTTTGAAAGCAAGCATATGCTGTGTGCCTGTGCCCCAACTTAGCAAAATAGCAAATCCTGAGCATTTCCAGTGTTAGAGTATTTTCAGTATTTCCAGTGAAAGAGTATTTGATAAAATTAGAAAATGGAAGAGGTTGACCTCTCAAACGGAAGAGATGGAAGTTATTATTTAGCAAATCTATTTATGTAAAAGAACTTCAATATGTTGGAAGAGTTCTGCTGAAATATTATGCTTTCAATGGGAAAGTAATCTTTAACATTTCTTGCTGTGCATATACAGTCACATGCATATACAGTAGAAGGAAATATAGATACTACCCACATTTACTTAGCTGGTGGAGTTGAGCATTTAAGTTAAATGCCATTTCAGCCTCGTTCCTCTCTTAGTAATCATGTTTTTGGTTATGCAATGGTTATCTACTCCAGCAGTGTGCCCAGTGTGTTCTGTGTCAATCAGTACTCAGGCCAATATGCTTGTTCTGGAGCATGTAATTTAGATTGGCTTAAATTGACCAAATTCTTGCATATTGAAGTTAGGATGTGATTTGACTTTAGCAAGCATGTAATTTCCCATCCCAGCTCTGCTTTTGATGCTGTGCTTCCTACATGGATGTACTTCAGTAGCTGGGACTGTATATCTGATTTTTTCAAATCCTTGTTCTAAAAAATATAAAATAAGAGCTGCTGTTCTGTGAAAATCACAAGGAAGAAAAGTGCTTATGTAATTCTAGAATAAGTGGTACAGTCAGTTGTGATACAGACTTCTGAGGTCGCTGTGTTTCACAAATACCAGCAACTTTCATTGCAGTTTGCATGTGGGGAAATGTGTGATACAGGAGGCACACCCTGTGAAGGATTTGGGTTTCAGTTTTATAGAAGGTGGGCACAAACCTCCACACATCATTGCAGGCTGCAGGAGAGGTTTTGAGAGCTGCATTCTGAGAATTCTCATCTCTTTCAAGGGCAGAGTACTTAGTACAGGTTGGAGGGGAAAGAGAAATTACATCACTTCTGCTTTTTATGTCAGTTGTAAACCAAGTCTGATGTCTCATGTCCCTGAAGGAAGATGATGGGATCTTTGTTTCAATCAGTGCCCATCTCTGGGACCCCAGTGGGAAAACAGTGACAAACAGCTGTTCTTTATGAGCTGGGCATTTCAGTAGGAATCAGCATTTGGATGTCAGAAAAGGCTCCTTCCATCCAGCTGTGGTGGTCATAAAGCAGCATAAACAGCAAAAAAATTTGGCCTCTGCATTCAGATTGAGGTTATCTTCAGTATTAATTTCAACTTTATTTAAGTCTGTGTTGGCTTATTTAGATTTCATGACCCATCATTTTTTTCTTTTATGAGATCCTGGTGGTTTTGGGTAATAGCAAGAGAGAAACTAGGTTACACTGGGAGGATCTTTTGCATCTCAGAGTAAGATCAGCCTGCTCAGAGTGGAATACAAAAATAATTCAAGCTTAAGAGAACAAGGAATATATTACAGCACACTGAATAAAAACCAGTATGAACAGAATATAATGGAAATAACTGGGAGGGGACATTGCTTCAGCTTTTTTCCTGCAGCCTGGGGTTGATTAAGTTTGCACATCAATGTTGATTCACTTCTGTGGATTTCTATACAGTCCATGAGTTTTATGCCCATGCTTGTGGGAGAGCATTTGAGGATTCAACTGTTGGCTATTTTTCCTTCTCAACAAATCTTTGTGCTTTGCTGTGTTTGCATTTTGTTTTATGTGTTGGCCTGCTGCCATAGTGTGTATTGCAGTGGTATTATTGAGTCCAAATAAGTCATTGTAAAGGACACTAATGAAGCTTGTTTATCAGGGTTAATTTGTGTTCTCTTTTTTATCACTTTATTAGCGTCGTCTTGGAGATGCTGCCAAGAAAGCCATTGGTAAATTGACAACCAGGACAGTAAAGAAGGGTGATAAGGTATAATAATAAGATCTGAACATGATAAACTTGATCATCATGTTTATTTTTTTTACTGGGGAAACAATCTCATTTTTTTCTTTGTGTTTCTGATTTATGACTTTGCCTTTCTTGTTGGAGGCTTACTTTGTCCTGTGGCACAATATTTTGTGTAACTGTTAGTATTGATGTATGCTGTATATTTCAAAGAAGGTTTTCATGCTTAAATACTATTTACACTCCATCTGGCAACTGTGACTGAGGGTGGTTCTGTGTGCTGGCTGACTGGGAGGGTGTCCTGGCATGAGCAGATAGGACTGGCAATGTTTATGTGGAATTTTAAAGCTTAGAATCTTATCATATGTAAGTTCTGTAAATGAAAAATAAATTTAAAAGACAGGTAATTGAAGATAATATCTTAAGTAGAATACAACTGTTCAGTAAGTTAAGGGGGAGAGGAAAGGGGTATTTCAGTCAAAGTTACTCCAAGAATATTTCTTGCTAGGATGCACACTAAAATATATGGTATGTTATGTCCTAAGCTTTTTCCACTTTTGAGAGCAGTATTGCTTTATTTTTGATTCTGAAAGGAAAAAAATGATCATTTAATCTTGCTCAATTTTTAGCTTTACTTTTCAAAAGGCAGGGGAATTCTGGCTATGATTCGATTTTTAAAATATTATTTCTTAGGGCCTTTTCATTGTGATTCCTTTTTTCTTTCTTATCAACACTATCAGCAGTGGCAGATCAGGAAGTGATAGGAAAATTTGTTTCCAGAGAGAAGGCAGAGCAAATGTCTTTCTGTTCTTCCTTCCTCCCTATGTAGTTCTATCTCAAAACAGCCCACTGCACTAAATCTTTTGTGGAATGGGAGAACATAAAAATTAGAGGAACCTTTGCATGTAAAACAGTGCTGTTGTCTTGACAGCATAAATTCAGAGCTGGCAAGTGCTGTGTAGGTTGCAGTACAGACAGCATGAGGTGCACATGCAGGTGAACAGAGTGGGAAAAACCTTTTCTTCCTCAGAGGAGCCATCAGGGTTCTCTGTGTGCAGCCCTGGCTGGTGCTGACCAGGAGTGGCTGGGGCTTTGCTCTGGTCCCTGCCTTGGTGTCTGGCTTGTGGCTGGTTGGCATCAAAAAGAATAATGAAGCTGAGCTAAGAGAAGGCACAGCCTGTTTTGTGTCACAGGCCCAAACATTTTAAATATGTGTTGTTGATGCCATATCTATATATAAATGAAGTACCCCCTTTTTTTCATTTGAGATTTTAAAATCTCATATTTTAAAATATAATTTTAAAAAGATCATAACTTCTGGAAAACAGCAGAGAGGAGCTGGTCAATCAGTGATCCTCATTTTCATGTCTTGATAAGAATGGTGATAATTCTGCAAGTAAGCAGCAGACATAAATATGGGACTACTCTGTCCCATATTTATGTACTAAGTAAAATATGCTCCTTCTGGCTGTAAAAATGAGCCCCAGAATTTTTATTCTGCCAAAACAAACAAACAAAAAAAAAAAAACCCTGGATAAAATAGAAATGTTTGCTGTAAACTGGATGGAAAAAAAAATGAAATCTAGGAAAGTCTGTACTATATTTTATAATGATTTCACTGAACATTAGAATCATCTTAGGCCTAAACTTATGTATGAAATGATGATTTACCAGCTCCAAGAAAGGGCACTTTTGCATGTATGAGATGCTTTTCTTGCTTAAGTCATGTTGGAATATAATTATCCAGTCATTGGGTTTATGGTTTAATAACAGCCACTTGGCACAGTGCTGTTCATGTACCAGTCACAACTACTTTGACATTTGTCATAGCCTCAACTCTTGACTTGAATTCTCATTCTATTCATTTTAGGAAACAGACCCAGACTTTGATCATTGTGCTGTCTGCATTGAGAGTTACAAGCAGAATGATGTTGTTCGCATTTTGCCGTGCAAGTAAGAGAATAAAGTTGCTTTGTTTGGAAACTGTTCTCTTTTGCTTCATTTCATGTAATGGGTGCGTTGTAATTCACAAATGCATTTGTTGGATGTTTCCAGTCCTAATTACAGACACTTTATTTTAGACTGTAGTGCCAGAAGGTGTGAAGGTGGGTGCTGGCACTGTTAGGACAATGGAGATTAAACAGAATTATATTAAAGATATTGGCAATGGAGCTGTTGAGATTGCAGTGAGGTGGAGGGGTGCAGGTTTAGGGACCAAGTGATGGGCAGACTCAAAAAACTTCAGTATAATGAGCCAGGTACAGCTGCAGCATTCTGCACTGTAGATATGCAACAACTGGCTGCTGGTTTTGGAAACTGTAGGAAATGGAAATGCAGTCTTTGCAACCTTCATACCTCCTGACATTAGTCAGCCACTGTGCTGTCATCTGTCTTTGGTCTCTTCAATGCAGTGTGATCTTGGCTGGTGTCTGAAGATTTGTACTTGCTGGTGATTCTGCATTACTGCTTAAAATGTAACAACTTCCTCCCCTTTTTATAGCATTGTGTTGACATTTACAGGTTTTTAGTTTGCTTCATTCTTGAGTTGTTTTGGGACATTTTCTCTTTGAGATGCTTTTAAATACTTTTCCACCTGGTGGTTGATTTTGATGAATCATACATTTTGGTGGCATTAAGCATTACCAAGGACATCTTTCCCTTGTGTTCTAAAATGCAAAGCTTTCTCCTCATCTCCAGGCACAAAACCCACGTGTAAATTAAGTTGTAGATATGCAGCAAGATACAATAACTTGGCTTGTGCTTGGTACATAAATGGTTCTGCATGACACCCTAGAAGCAGCAAAGTCATGTGTTGGAGTTGATCTCCAGTCAGGCAGCAGCAGCACATAAAGGCTCATTATTGGTCTTCTAAATCCTCCTGCAGGCTGTTCTGAATAGCTTGAATATCTTCTAATGTGCAGGGTATTTCCATAATCATAAAAGGAAAACAGTATTATTTTCTACCTTACTGATCAAAACATGTGTGCATTATACTTCTGTAGCCAAAAATCTAATTTGATTTGCTGTTCTCTGTGTTCCTTACCTCTTGGACAGCAGGAAACAATGACCTGTTTTAGATTCTCAGTGTTGTTTAGCTAAAATGCCCTACAACTGATTATTTAGAAACTCTTATTAAAATATTTAGGAATAGAAGAGCTTACACTGGAAAGATTTAGGAGCCTTTGGTCACGTGGATGTATGTGCATTTCTTTGAGTAAAAATGACTGAATTGTAAAAAAGTTGATGTCCCCTGAAAAATGTACTCCCTAGTGTAAAGTAGATATTTCAGAGTTACATCATTTATTGCAATCTCAAGTGAAGTTTATGTAGGTGAATTAAGCCCTGCTCTTTTGATATGTTATGCAGAAGGTTATTCAGAAATCAGAGGAGGAACTTCTGGAAACTGCCCACCAGTTTTGGACCACTGAGATGATTGTTTTGTAAACTGCCTCTTAAGAAAGCTTCTCTTGTGTAGTTCTACTGTGAGGCTCAAGGACATGGAATGAAAGGTCACAAGTCCCACTCTTCTGTGCCTTTCTCTTGGTACTGAACAGAGGGCAGGAGGAGCCCTTGCCAGTGAAGAGAGAATGACTCTTCCCTGATAGGAAAACAGCTGTTCCCACTGAGCACAAGGCAGAGTTGGGATTAAAAGCCAATTTCCTTAGCTAAACAGCTGCCCCTTTGCAAGCAGTGGGTATGTTGTTGATATCCACAGATACAATACAGACCCTTTGAACAAGGTGATCATTGATTTATTTTTTTAATTATAAAAAATAATAAAAAAAGTCCTTTTTCTTCAGACACCTTTGTTGAGCCGCAGTCCTGCAGGCAGAAGCTCTGGGCTCCCAGGGGTGCTTGGAGCTGCTCAGGGAGCTGCATGCAGGTGCACCTGGCTGCCACCTCAGCACAACCTGCCCCAGTGCACTTTCCCATGTAAAGGAGAGATCAAGGCTCTTGTGTAGATCATTTTCTGTTCTGTTTTTCACAAGAAGGTAAGGTCAGCAAAGGCTCAGATTACATTGCTGCCAAAGGCTGTATGACAACTTTTATGTTCGCTTTCTTCTTCATTTTTACATCTCACTTTTCATTTGCTGCAACCCAGCTTTTAAGTTAAGTGCAAAACCATCTAGGCTAGGCACGGTGAGATGGATGCTTTCCACAAGACATTTTTATATTTGTAGATGAAAAGCCAACTAGTACCTTCAAAGATGGGCTCAGTAAATTTCAGATTCCATGTGAAATTTTTCAGTCTTCAGTACCTGAGATGCTTCTCCCCAAATCTTGTTATGGAGGTTTAGCTCCTTTCTGCTTCCTCATATTTCAACCTTCTATTTTAGTGCACCATGCAATGTTAGGTAAAAAAAAAAAAAAAAAAGAAAAAACCAGCACGCAGACAATAAAACAAAGCCTACAAGAGAGTTTCTAAGCCAGATGATAAAATAGATTGCAAGGAAACCATGGAGAAAATCACTTGACCAAGAGGAAGCAAATAAAAGGGTAGAAGTTCTCGCTGTGCCTGTTGTAATCATTAGACAGTAGGAATCACTGACATGTGACATCTTTGCTGCTTTCATCAATTTAAAAGTTGCCTTTCCCTTTAGTAGCACAGTTGTTCTCTGCAGTTAAGTGTGGTCTGTCACACTGTGCTTCAGCAGAGGAATCTGCTCTGGGCAGACACACAGCAGGCAAAATCTACCAGCAGCTGAGCAAGTTGCACCTAAAATTCTATAGTGAAACTCCACATTTGTGATGTAAAGGTTTGTGGCATGTGGGAAATTGTGGCAAATTTAAAAATAAACTACAGTGACATGGTAGAAATTCAATTGTGTTGTTTGCAGTAATTCATTTTTGCTTCAGAGGGGGATGTTCAATACCAGCACCCTGTGGACATACCTATAGCTTTAGTGCACAGAGGGACAAGCAGCCATCTGTTTTAGGCTTCCAAGCTTGAGGAATGTGTCTTTTGTGAATGTCATTATGTAAGTGAAAAGTGAGTAGAGGAAGCAAATGTGAAGGATCTTTTAGCAAAAGACAAACCTCATGGACAATTTTCCTTATTCAGATAACTTTATTCTACCATCACACAGTTGCACCTAGGGGCTGAACAGGCACTAGGTGAAAAGTGATCAGGAGTGGGTAGTGTGAAGGATTAGTGAGAGATAAGGGAAGGGGAGAGCAAAGTGGCAGGTTAGAGAAGAACAGAAAGGGCAGAAAGATGGCCAATGCAGGAAGGAAGGAATGAATTAACAAGATAGGAAAATAATTAAAAGAGTAGCAAATACTATAAAATAAATGGCTTTTGAGCCAAAGTTTTATTAATTCCTGTCTTGGGCAAGAAGGAGGAAAGTGATAAAAGCAGCTAAACTGGATTTTCAGATTTTCATATTTGATTCTGTGCTGCTGCAAATAGCTGCCTTTTTAAGACCAAATTAACACGGATTCTTGATGGCATCCCTTCTGCTTCCTGCAGTGCTTTGGACTTCAGGGCCAGAAGAGCAGCTGCCTCCAGCAGTAGCCAAAGAACCTGCTTTGTTTGCAGCAGCAAAAGTCCCTTTGGTGGGATGCTGCACTGAGAGCAGGGCAGGGTAGTGAGCTCCAGGGAAGCAATATTTGTAAATCATTCAACCCTTCTCCTTTTCTGATGTGTGAATTTGGAGGCCTTACACCACCAAAAGAGGTTCCTAAGTCACTTTCTCCCCTGTGAAATGCTGCAAAGAAGCTGTGTTGTACAAGAGTCAGTGTTCTGGTGTTTATTACCAGCTGGAGGGCAGCTGGATTGGGTGTGCTGACAGAGTGGAAAAATACCTGCAGGTCACCTGCCTGGAGCTGTGCCTGCATGGGAGACTCCGTCAGTGCTGCCAGCCTGGCTGCTGGCCCTGCTTCCTCCAGCCCTAGGCAGTGTCACCCCTGGCTCCCCAGGCAGTGTCACCCCGGCTCCCAATGTGTGGCTCCCCAGGCTGTGTCACCCCTGGCTCCCATCCTTCAGCCCCAGGCAGTGTCACCCCTGGCTCCCAACGTGTGGCTCCCCAGGCTGTGTCACCCCTGGCTCCCAATGTGTGGCTCCCTAGGCAGTGTCACCCCTGGCTCCCATCCTTCAGCCCCAGGCTGTGTCACCCCTGACCCCCAGCACGTGGCTCCCCAGGCAGTGTCACCCCTGATTCCCAGGCTGTGTCACCCCTGGCTCCCAACGTGTGGCTCCCCAGGCAGTGTCACCCCTGGCTCCCAATGTGTGGCTCCCCAGGCTGTGTCACCCCTGGCTCCCATCCTTCAGCCCCAGGCTGTGTCACCCCTGACCCCCAGCACGTGGCTCCCCAGGCAGTGTCACCCCTGATTCCCAGGCTGTGTCACCCCTGACTCCCAATGTGTGGCTCCCCACACAGTGTCACCCCTGACTCCCATCCTCCAGCCCCAGGCAGTGTCACCCCTGACTCCCTGGCTGTGTCACACCTGGCTCCCAGCGTGAGGCTCCTGGGGAACGTCAGCAGCTGTCGTGACCAAGAGCAGCTGGCTGGGAACTCGTCACGTTTATGGTCTTGGAATACCAATTACAGGAGTAGGAAGATGGAGGAGGTTTATGAGAGCAGAAATTGCAAGGGCTTACTTTGTCAGGGTGAGGTTTTGAAATAATTCTTGTTTGCTGTCGTCATTGCTGTATAACTGCTTTTTAACTCTTGCAAACAGAGAAATCCAGACAGAGGCTGAGCCACAATGATGCTATCAGCAAACTTTTTAAGAGGTAGAGAAACTGTAAGTAGTAGGCAGAGCCATGCTTTCTAAATCAATAACCTTTGGAGAACTGCACTTCTTTGAAACACATTAATAAACATCCTTGAAGATTTAGGAACTAAAAGCAAAGAATTAGGAGGTCATAAAAACAATTGGGCTGTGTATATAAATATATCAAAGTGCTAATGACTTTTTAAAATAACTCATATTTAGTGGATAGATGTTGGCATCTATGTCAGTCTTGATCTGAGTGCTTCTACAGCACTCATTAGCCAATAATGATGTAATAAAGCTGTTTTCATATTTCTTTGGAGTCTTGATGTCTGCTCTTGCCCAAAATACTAGATTTTCAGGTTTGTTCTACTTTAAAAAATAGACTCGGGAGACTTGAAACATAAGTAAATAAAAGTAATAATTTACCTAACTTAGAAAAATAGTATCTCTGTATGTTTCAGAATATTTCAAGCCATTATGTATCACCCAGAGTTTCTAAACATTGTTTCCTGTAGTTTTGTGAATGATAAAGGGAATGCATTAAAAGTTAATAGAAGTGAGTCTGTTTAGGGTGATGATTTAAACAGAAGGCCCTGTACATACCCTGGTTTTTGTGATTGCCACCTTGCTAGAGGACACAGATCAGCCAAGTGGCTAACTGAGGTCCTTTTAAGTTTCTATTCCTGCATTATCTGGGATAGAGATAAGCAAAATTATTTTCCTACCTGTCCATCTTCTGTTAATTATTTTACACCCTAATTCTGCATCTTTAGTTAGTACAAGTAGGACATACAGCTGTAGCTGCTTAGAACTTCGTTATGTTGATGTTGTTTAGTCCCTCCATCAGCCTGAGCAGACATAGACTGTTATATAATTATATACTGTCTTTTGTCATGTTTAACAGTTTCAGAAGGCCTTTCAGGTTGCTTTCCAGAGAGTTTAGAGAGAATTATCTGGTAACATGCCTTATTTGGTCTTAAAATCCCAAGGGATAGGGAGCAAAGAACTCCCAGATTCCATGATGAGCTTTCTCAGGCACAGAGCATAAGTGTAACCCGAGCAAGGAGGGGACAGAGAATCTCAGCTTTGTGCTGCCTTGGGGCACACGTGGCCACCTCTTCCAGACCCTGCTGATGCCTCAAATAGATGCCAAGACCTGCTTGTTCTGCCCCTGCCCTTTCCCTGCTGGCTCCAGAGCACAGCTCTTTGCTGACTCAGCAGCCCTTGTAATTGCTGATCTTTGTCATGATCACCAGTCTGTCGTGTTTGGGTGTGCCTGCTCTTACTGGCTTCTTGCTCTGCAGTCAGCACCACTGGAAAGGAAGGATCAGGGCTCTTATCATTGGAACTCATATAGGCAGTTACTCAGACTGGGTTATTATGAGTATTTGCTAAAACTATATTGGGTAGACAGTCTTGTGATACCCATTCTTGCCATGAATATGCTCTGAAAAGTTCTTTGCCTTCTGAAAAGCTAAGAGGGCATTTCATTTACTTCCTTAATTTATGTACCTTGTTTTGGTCTTTGCATAGTCCTTTCTTGTTATACTGGTTTATATCAGTCCCAACATTTACATTTATATCCATGGATGAGATTAAGATTCTGAATGCAGTGTAGGAGGCAATTCAGACTGTTGCCTATTGCAGAGTTCCCTGCTTTGCAAGTAGGAGCCCAATTTGCCTTTCCATCTCTGAAAGCCCAGTTTGCCTTTCCTTTTATTTTTATGACAACCGTATGGTGATGGACATGTTTTTCCTCTTGATATCGAGAAATACGGATGGCAGGGAAAGGCTTCTTTCTGCTTCAATGTGATAATTATAAAAGCCTTTTCAAAGTCAAGCAGGAGTGTGTTTGGGTTGGTTCCACTGACTTGTGAACAAAATTGACAGCTGATGGGTCTGTGCTCTTCCTACCAAGTTTATGCTCAAGATTCTGCATCAGAACTGAGACAGAACTGTAGGCAAGGTTATGGTGGAAATGGCATTACCTTCAGTCTTCTACTTTACATCCACTACTCATATCCACAGTAAAATGGGGAGAGGGGTGAAGGGGGAATGAAAATCAAGTGTTTCCTCCTATTAATAAAGAGAGAGACAACAACAAACAATATTTTAATTTATTCTTTAAATTACTGCAATTAGCACAGAATACTGGCAATTCTAAGAATTGCATGTATTTTAAAATAAGAAAAAAAACCAACTCTCCAACAGTTTGAGTAGTTTTCATTGTATTAAATAGAATTGTTTGCAAATTATGTATGTGCCTTCTCTGTTCTAGGCACGTATTCCACAAAATCTGTGTGGACCCATGGCTCAGTGAGCACTGTACATGTCCAATGTGTAAACTGAACATTCTGAAGGCACTGGGAATTGTGGTAAGTTGTTTGGTTGTGAGCTCTTCCTCTTCCTCCCATGTCTGAGACCCAAAATAGAAAGAATAATTGTGTGGAGAGTGGGGGCAGGATGTTCCAGTAGCCTTACTCAGAAAATATTTGGCGGTTTTTACATTTCTTTGGTGTGCCAATTTGTTGTTTTTCCTTCTTTCCCTAGTTGGTAGTTGAGAATATATTGTTATATTTGCATTTATGACAAGTATCTACCGGAAGTATGTTAGATTCTCTGTAATCTTCCTTTCTCTCAAGTCCTTTCAACTTTTCTTTTTAAATTTATTCTCTGAAGTTCTTGTTCTTGTGGCTTCCTGTAGGCAGTCTTAAATTTGCACATTAAAAGCCCTGCCCTAGCCAAGGCCAGTGAGTTTTCCTCAAGCAGCTCGTGTCCTTAGGGATCCCCGAGGATTTCTTTCATTGACCAGTTCACAAAGGGATAGCAGTAAAACCTCAAAGCAGATATTTTTAATCTTTCCTGTATGAAGAAAAAATTACAAAGTGGGAGTGATGCTCTTTTCAAAGTAAGAGAAGACCATATGGAGAGACTGTCTAAAGTGGCTTTTGATTCAAGACAGTGAGAATAATCAGGCCTCCATTTTTAGCTGTGTCAGTCGCAAGTTTGCACATTTCCTAAGAAATAGTAGCAGATATTTTGTGGATGACCTGTTTTTGCAGTTAATAACATCCCTGGGTTTATAGAAGGCGATACAGAATTCAGAGTTTTCATAGTTGTGGTGAACCATACAGGCACAGGCTATGATATAGGTGTATTTGAGTCCCTTCCTTGTATCACAGTCCTTTTTTCTGCTTCTTCCTTCTCATCTTTAAGAGGTAATATTGTATATGCTGGGAATGCCCTGACAAAGGCAGGAATGATGAATCTGACTCCATGTTCTCAGAAGGCTAATTTATTACTTTATAGTACTATATTATATTATGGAATACTATACTAAACTATACTAAAGAGTACAGAAAAGATACTTACTAAATGCTAAAAAAATAATAATGAAAACTCGTGACTCTTCCCAGAGTCCTGACACAGCTTGGCCCTGATTGGCCAACGAGTCAAAACAACTCACACCCGAATCCAATTAAACAATCACCTGTGGGTAGACAATCTCCAAACACATTCCACATGAGCAAAACAGAGGAGAAGCAAATGAGATAAGAATTGTTTTCCTTTTCTCTGAGGCTTCTCAGCTTCTCAGGAGAAAAATCCTGGGCGAAAGAATTATTTCAGAGCATGTGATTGCCACAAGGTTGAAGTTGTTCATTCATGTGTTTCTCACCTGTGTGACCTCAGAACAGCCACAGCAGCTGAACAAAGTGTGTGTGTGTGGTTCCATTCAGTGTGTGGGCGTGCTGCAGGTAGAGCATTGCCCAGTGTAACGTGGAGCTGTGTTTTTCCCAGCCCAACGTGCCGTGCACAGATAACGTCGCCTTTGACATGGAGAGGCTGACGCGGGG